CTTTCACAGAAAGATCGCAAGTTCAAAACCCGCCTTAGCAACAGCAAGTTGCTAAGCAACTCAGTAAGACCCTGTCTCTAAATAAAACACAAAACTGGGGATGTGGCTCAGTGGTCGAGTGCCTCTGAGTTCAATCCCCAGTACCAAAAAAAAAGGACATCATGAGAACAAATGCATTTCTTAAGAACCACGACACAAAAAAATGGATTCATGAAGACTTTCTACAAAGGAGATATATCCAAATCTCAGAAAAACAAGTTTACAGACTCAAAGGAACAGTAAGTCAATATAGCTATAAAGTCAATAAAGCTATTCTGACCATGCATATGCTATTTACCCTGAGATGACAGTGGCCACCACAGCTTTGATGAATGCTGCAAAGACTCTATTATCCCTTTGAAGCATACTGAGGCCTCTACATGACTAAAGTCTGATGAAAAAAGTTTCTCCAAGGCAATTGCAGTCACTTTATTTCATGCCAACTTCCCTAGCCCCACTAAGCAATGAGCATCTTTCAGTTCTGTCCCCTACCACTGAAATTCTGTAAGCATCCAATAGGACATTCCCTTCCATTAATCCAGTGAAGGAATGCAATAGCAGCCAAAATGGGGAAAGGCAATAGCAGCATAAACACTTGTACCTAGGATCAGATAAGGACATCTGACAAGTTAGGCTATTCCATTGCCCATCCTAAGCCCTGCAGCTAGGGCAGGCCACCAAACATTCCAGGGACTAAGCGTTCATCCAAAAAACAGATACATCATCATTTGCTCCAATCAGGCATGGTGGCACATATCTATAATCCCAGTGACTCAGGAGGCTGAGGAAGAAGGATCACAAGTTCAAAGCCAGCCTCACAACTTCGCAAGACCTTTTGCAATTTAGTGAGACCCTGTCTTAAAATAAAAAATAAAAGGATGGGGGATGGGCTAGGGATTAGCTCCATGATAGAGAGCTTTCCTAGCATGCATGAGGCCCTAGGTTCAATTCCCAGTACCACAAAAATACATTAAAAAAAAGGACTGGGGATGCAGTTCAGTGATAAAGTGCCCTGGGTTGAAAAATAAAATCATTTGCTCCATTCATTTCCTAGAGATACTATGAAGACCAAATCAGATACCTTGGGAACGCTACACAGCTGGTTAATGCTTGGGTCATATACCAAACCAGGGTCAGAAATATACCTCTAACACTGACCAGAAAAAGGAAACAAATTGATTAATGTTTTCCTGCCCTATAACTGCTCTTGGCCTTCTCAAAACTATTCTATATGACTGAGGGTGTAGCTCAGTGGTAGAGTGCCTACCTAGCATGCGTGAGGCTCTGGGTTCAATTCCCAACACTGTCAAAAACAGAATAAACCACACCTGATCCATACCAATATCTGGCTATATCTCAACCAAGAAAAGGCTTTTGAGGATTTTATAAAGCAACCACAGGGGCCATCCATAAGTCACCATCTGATAATGGTCAACTGAAGTAGAGAATCACAAGCATACATGACCTGGGACCTTTTAAAACTGAGGTCCTTTTAAACATACATGACCTTGAACCTTTTAAAACTTTTAAAAATGCTGGGGATAGAAGCTGAAAAAGCTGCCCATCTTTTGTTAGTCTTGTAGGCAACACCTACAATCAGACAATTCAACATAACAGAGTCTTTTTCAGCAAGATCCACTTAAAACTGAAATATTAAAAAGCCAGTCAAAGGAATCTAGGTCTCTAAGTTAAACATTTCCCTTCTGAAAAGTATTCTTGTTTCTCAAAGATGTTATCTATGAAAAGACTACAAAGAAGTGATCAGCTGGGCATGGTAGTGCATGAATATAATCCCAGTGGCTGGGGAAGCTGATGCAGGACAATCAAGAGTTCAAAGCCAGCCTCAATAACTTAGCAAGGCACTAAGCAACTCAGTAAGACCCTGTTTCTAAATTAAATTCAATAAAGGGCTAGGGATGTGGCTCAGTGGTCAAGTGCTCATGAGTTCAATCCCTAGTACAAAAAAAAAGTGAGAAAATAGTCTATTTCCCTCCCTATAATTTTAAGGAAGATCTCTCAATTTCTTTAGCAATGAGACTTCAACACCAAAATGCTAATCAGTACTATAACCATTTTTGAGTTGCTTATTTTAAAAAGCCATTCTATTTTTAAAAAAAAAATTTTTTTTAGTTGTAGGTGGACACAATACCTTTATTTTTTATTTATTCATATGTGGTGCTGAGGATCGAACCCAGCACCTCACACGCACTAGGCATGCGCTCTACCACTGAGCCACAACCCCAGTCCCGTTTTTAAGAAGCCATTCTCATTCACACTTGTTCAAGCAAATTAAATATATATTCTTCTATTAGAGGGTGGGATAGGAAAATTAAGGCTCTAGAGCCCTCCAACAAACATGTTTCCTATCTGTTAACAACTAGATGGGGATAAAAAAGTGAAAGATCCAACAGCTTCCCATGATTAGAATCTCAAAACCATCAAATGCTAGGATTAAAAGCAGCTTAGATGGTGGCCTAGCTCCCCAGAGTGTAGATGAGAAGACTGAAGTCCCAAGATCTACCCAAATCCTCAGAGCCCTGCCAGGTGGGGAAGTTACAGCTTCCCTGAAGCAGGCTAGGCTCTTACTCTGGCAGTCCTGCCCCAGCACAGTCCCTTGGGCAGGCATTTTGCACACACAAGGGAAACAGTTCCTAGGAGAGAAGAATTATTCTAAATGATAGGAAACACAAACTCAGGGTCAGCAAGGAGGTCACTGGTAGGGTTAACAAACTTCCCACACCAAACCTAAGGTCTGATGAAGAAAGTTTCTCCAAGGCAATTGCAGTCACTTTATTTCATAGTTTAAATACTTTAAACATAGCCACTGGAAAAAAAAGGAAGAGTGGGAGAAAAAAGAGATCGAAAAATGTCCCCTCTAATATCCTGTGTCTGCTTAAATCACCCTAAAGTAGGGAGTCTCCCTAGTGCTGACTTTAATAAGGACCTTCCTAAAGCTGGTCCAACTGGTGTTCAAGTCCTTAGACTGAAAAACATGTTTATGAGCAGCAGGTCACCTGATTCTGACCATGTATATGCTATTTACCCTGAGATGACAGTGGCCACCCAGCTTTGATGAATGCTGCAAAGACTCTATTATCCCTTTGAAGCATACTGGGGCCTCTACATGACTAAATCCCATAAAAAGGAAACCTGGGTGGGAAAAAAGGGAAGCCACAAACATCATGCCCTGATGGGAAAAACCTCATTCTGGACACTGAATTGTTAATGAAAACTTGTTACTTGTGTCCCTGATTTGTGAAATATGTGATTACATCATCACTAAAAAAAGTTCCCTGTTTTACCCACAATGTGCCTACTTGCTGTCAAGGCTCACTGCTTAGACTTGGACATTGCCCATAGTCAAGGGACAGAGGCAGCCCAGACCCAAGTGGCTTAGCAGATTCATATCAGTCATAAATGTCAGCCAGAAGAACCCAAACTCTGACCACAGAGAACAACCCAGTGTTGGGGACAAGAGAGTGGTAATGAGAGACTTACCCATCTCTTCCTTTGCTGACAATCTTCACTTCAAAGTAATAAATACCACAGGCAGCAGGTATGGGATGGGTGGCACGCACTGAAGCTGCATCTTTGTGATTTTTGCCATGACCTAATGGGAAAGGGCAAGGAATAAATTTCAGCAAAAGGAAATGAAAATGGAAGGCTCATTCTCTCTGCTCCACAGTAACTTCACCCCTCACTGGCCAGAGTAAACCCTTATGCAGTCGAAGGAATAATTAAACAACTGAGTAAACAGATAAACCTCCCACCTTTGGCTCACCTCCTCCTGAGACTAGTAGCCTGACTGAGCCACACTCCCCCATAACAACAAAACAAGGGCACAGTCAATGTGAATCCATGTGAGAAATGCCTGAGTGCTATTGGCAGTCTCTCCACAATCCAGGCAGCCCACCTGAGACACCAGGGGAAGGAGGAGACAGACTAGGAAGTCATTCCCACCAACAACTTTAGCACAGAACCCCAGCCCAGTCCGGGATGACTGACAAGCAGGCCAGTCCATGCACTACTGGCTAATGGAGAGGGATGTTATCGCCTCTTTTTGCCCCACTCCTGAAACAAAGTGGAAAAGGGCTGAACTGGAATTGGAGCCAGCCCAGGACAAGCAAGGAGGCCCTAAAGTGAAAGGTCCAACTCAGAACTGGTTTAGACACCTGTTGAAGTTATTTTGACGTTGGGTGTCTCAGGGCTGAGCAAAGCAGGCAGTCAAACCTCGGCCTGGTCAGCTCCACCACTCTGGACACACCGCAGGGACGAAGGCCTATCTTGGAGCCCCAAGGCAGAACAGGGACGTGATGCAGCAGAGGCCAAGCAACACAGCTGCCCTGCGGACACTACGGACTTATCCTCCTGGGATCAGACAGGCCGATACCTTTGTAGTGGACGCGAAGGTTGCCCTGGGAGAGGCCGATGTAGTTGTACTTGTCCTTGGGACTCCAGGAGCGCGGCAGCGGCGTCTCGTGCTGGTTGACCGCGGGGTACAGGCGCTGCAGGCGCCGGCTCAGCTCCTGCTCCCCGGGGGATGGCAGCCCACCCGCAGCGCCCCCGCCAGAGGAGTCTCCTGCCTGCGGGCTCCCAGCTCCCGGGTCCGCCGTCGCCGCCGCCATCTTGGAGGGAGCTGCTATTGTGTCACTGGGGGCGGGGAGGAGTGCGACCAGATCCGCCCAGCTCAGCCAATGGCTCGCGAGCCTCCCGGGGCCTCAGGGAAACTGAGTCCGAGTCGGGCACTTCTCTTTGGACACTGCCACGCCTCACCACATTTTGGACTGCATTTCCCACAATGCAGAGCTCCACAGGGGCGAGCCAATGCGGGCTGAGAGGGAAATTCGGGAGATGTAGTACACACCTGCTCCGTCCTAAGGCTGTCCAGCTGAGACTCCAGGACCCCGAAAACTACAATTCCCGCAGACAAAGCGGCCTCCGGCCTCTCGGCTCTCCTTCCTCCCCTGTGGTCTCTGCTTATCTCCCTGACTCAGTTCTGTCGCTAATGTCAAACTTGCTGTACTGACTGTCTCCCAGGGCACCCTGTGCCCAGGTCGAGTCCACCCTACCTTCTTGATCTTCCTCCCAGCCCGCGGTCGCTGGACTGGGGGCGTGGCAGAGGCCGGATCCCGCCCTCACCGCAGGGCTGCTGGGGCCTGGTCTCCATGGCAACAAGCTGTACACTCCCGCAGCTTCCCGGGCTGTGGGTGCTGGCCACACGCCTGCCGGAGGGTCATGGCCTCCCTGCCGTCGCAGCGCTACAACTTCTCCAAGTCGAGGTAGGCGGTAACCCGGCTAAGGGCGGAGAGGATGGCTTCCAGAGAGAAAGATGACACCTGGTCCCGACCTCTGCAACACCTGCTGGCTTCTGTCCTTCGGGCTGGGGCTTCAGCCCCGCAGAATTAGTGGTGCAGAAGCAGTTAGAATTCTGGCTGACTTGTCTTTCCAGTGAGGACATTACGTGTCAACAAAAAGGCAGGATAACAAAAGGGCCAGCACACTTTACTATTAGGAATCACAATTATCTTGTATTGAACATTAATATGCTGAATGCTTTCTGTACCATGTATAACCCTCACAACACTTCTATGAGGTAGTTAAATCACCATTTTAAAGAAATCTAAGCCTGGAGAGCTCATAGTTTTACACATACTTACAAATGGTGGAGTTAAAATTTGAACCCAGGCTGGATGTGGTGGTGAAGTCCTGTATCCCAGCAACCTGGAATGCTGAGGCAGGAAAATCACAAGTTCGAGGCCAGCCTGAACAATTTAGCAAGACCCTGTCTCAAAATAAAAGATAAAAAGGTCTAGGGATGTAGATCAGTGGTAAAAACATTCCTGGGATCAATCCCAACAACTCAAGAGGTTGAGGCAGGAGGATTATAAGTTCAAAGCCAGCCTTAGCAATTTAGTGAGACCCTGTTCCCAAAATAATTTCTTTTTTTGGTACTAAGGCACTGTAATACAGTGGTACTCTACCACTAAACTATGCCCCCAGCCCTTGATTCAGTGGTCAAGTTCAATCCCCAGTATCCCCCCCCCCAAAAAAAAATACATCCTCCCCAGCTCTCTTTAAACTTTGAGACAGGGTCTCACTAAATTACCAAGGCAGGCTGAAACTTGTGATCTTTCTGTCTCAGCCTCCTTCAAAAGAAAAATTTTAAAAATGACTGGGAACGTAGTTCAGATGAACTCTCCTAGGTTCAACCCCCTATTACCCCCCCAAAAAAATAAATAAATAAAATGTTCCAAGACTGAGCTTCTATATCTCAAACATGAGGATGACACAGCCCACCTCACAGTCACTGTTGAAAACATTTAAGTAAAATATGGGAAGCCCTGCCACAGTTCTTATACATCTATAATATAATTCTCAATGCAAAAAAGCCTGACTGCGCCCAGACTCTAATCATTCAGGGGATGCTGCCTTTACAAAAAAAAAAAAAAACCTACAAAATTCCCCTAGAACAGGAAATAACAATTTGAAGATTTTATCCAGAGCTAATAGTAAACTTGAGAAAGTGAGTTGTTATCTATCACAGGCATAATCCAGGACACTGCAATAATCTACAAAAGGGATGTAAAACAGACTCAGAAAGAGAATCTCCATCCATTTCAGAAAGAAAGCAGAATATAATTTCTGAGTGATGAATTTGGTGGCAATACAAAATATCATTCATTCACCATAGTCTTCCTTTACCATTATGTAGTGACATACATGGGTCTGGGCTGTTCCCTTCAAGGAGCAGTGTGATTATCCTCTTCCAGCTCCTCTTAGACCAGGGACAATGTGATGGATAGGACAGACCTTAGCACTGTAGAACATGTCAGCAGGATCCTCTAAAAAAGAGCTTCAAATTGTATATTTCCCTAGGGCAGGTATCTCTTCCTTAAGGTCTTTTCTCCTTTCACCTTCACATTCCTACAGAGTCTATTGGTGGATGGAACTCACAGCTTGAGGTGAGGTTGCTCAATACCAGATACACTCTTGAGAAACCCACTGCCTACCATTGACTAAATAATTGAGTTCTCACCACCATGGATATAAAAATATATTTCTCATTCCCATTTGAAGGTTGGTGTAAAATACTTAGAAGCATCCTAGGCTTTTTGGATAAGCCTACAGGCTCTACTGGGTGCTTTGTTTCTGTAAATCTGTTTTTTACTATTATCTTCTTTCACAAAAATGTTGTAGAGTTGTATGATTGAAACAGTTTTCTTCTCTATCAATATCTCTTATCTACTAAATTTTTCCAATTGGAAATTTCTTATGATTATATATAGAGTTCCCCTCAGGTTTTCTGCTTACCTTGCCTTTTGTGATGTTTCCAGAATAAGCAAGAACACTACAAAATGACTTGATCTTGGTAGGAAGGTATTGATTTAACCCAGTGAGTAGTTGGGGTTGATCTACTGTATCATCTTGTTTTCCAAGACTGCCTCAAACCCATGTACATCTGACCAGACACCTTTATTTCTCTGCACTAACTTCTTTTTTTTTATTTCAAACTGGATTCTTATTTCTCATGTTTTGTCCACATTTGCCCAAAGGATTTGGGTTGTTACTGATCCATGGAGTAGGACTGAAGAATTCACAGACAAGGTTTCCCAGCTGGGTTCATGTGAATGCTCTCAAGTTCCCTAGAGTTTTGATAGTACTAGTCCCATTTTTAGGGGCAAAGACACTGAGATTCATAGGTTAAGCAGCATACCCAAGGTCATCAGCTAACAAGGAGTATGAACACATAAGTCCACTTGGCAGTATACTCTACCCTTTGGATCTCTGAAATTACTTCTTCCTTTTATTCTACCTGGGCAAGCCTGCCCCCACATGTAGTACTCCCTGCTGACTTCCAAGTGCCTCCATAGCTTGAACAAGGCTGTTTCTCCTAATATTAAAAACTTCCTTAGGGTCCACTTTTTTCCCATCCTGCTGTCATAATTAACATCTGTGGAGCTTATTGCAATTTACACAGATTTTTTGTTTTGTTTTGTTTTGATACTAGGGATTGAACTCAGGGGCACTCAACAAATGCTGAGCCACATCCCAGCCCTATTTTATTTTTTTATTTTATTTAGAGACAGGGTGTAAGTGAGCTGCGTAGTGCCTCGCTTTTGCTGAGGCTGGCTTTGAACTCATGATCCTCCTGCCTCAGCCTCCATAACCGCTGAGATTATAGGCATGTGCCACCGCACCCAGCTACATAGTATTTTTGTATACCTCACTTTTTTAGTTGTAGATGAACACAATGCCTTTATTTTGTTTATTAATTTTTATGTAGTGCTGAGGATTGAACCTCAGGTGTGCCAGGCAAGCACTGTACCACTGAGCCACAACCCCAGCCCTGTATACCTCACTTTTATTTAAACTTCACAACATTGTGAGAGGCAAGGTAAGAATTGTCTCCACTTCTTCTTTTAAAAAAAAATATTTATTTTTTAGTTGTAGTTGAACACAATACTTTTATTTTATTTATTTATTTTTATGTAGTGCTGAGGATCAAACCCAGGGCCTCGCACATGCTAGGCAAGTGCTGAGCCACAACCTCAGCCCCTTGTCTCCACTTCTTTAAGAGGAAAGTAGACTGAGGAATATTAAATGAATGACCCAAGAGTGATCCATTTGGAACCCCAGATGTCAGTCCCCAAATCTTATCAGCCAGGAAATAGAGGATTCAGACTCTGCACACCAGCTCTCGGACCCTAGACCCTGTGCTGCTTTTTTGCTATCACCTACCTTTGGGATCACCTCCTCAGAGTGTACCAGAATTGTGAACATGAAACCATTAATTAAATATAAATCTAGAGTCTCTGGGTTCATGGTTAGGGTGTCCTGCTGTTGCAAGAGTTGGTGAGACTCTGGTGATGATGTTTCAGGAAAATGGTTTGGGTCCAGGGCCAGGGTCTTACTTGGCAACATCTCTGAGACTCTGGAGGCAGTGCTAGAAGACCCAGAGGCTGACTCTGATGGGAGGGAAGTCCATGCCTTGTGGATTTGGGAAGGATAGGAGGGCTCTTCCTACTCTGGGATCTGTTACCCACCACCACCTTCTCCTCTATGCAGAACACACCCACAGTCTTCAGGAATGAAGATAGATGACTGTCTCCGAGAACCCAAAAGCACCCAGAAGTGCAAGCTTTCTCAGAAACGAAAGACACTGGTTAGTGACAATGCCTTTTTGGATCTCCACATGTCATCCCCTAAACCCTATCTGTCTGCCTGTCTGCAACTCAAAGGCACCACCGCCTGTCTGCAACTCAAAAGCACCCCCATCCGAAATACGCACACCAGAACAGCTTCTTCCTGGTCAGGATAGTGTGGCTCACAAAGGCCAAGCCTCCCAGACTTTGGGGAAGAGAGGAATGCACACTGGCCACTTGTCATCTGAAAAACCTTCCCAGACCCTCCTCCTAGGCAGAGCCCTCAGACCTTTCCCTGCAGCTCAGCATTCTGGAGTTTCTTTTTTTTTAATATTTATTTTTTATTTACAAGTGGATACATATCTTTTTTTTATTTTATGTGGTGCTGAGGATTGAACCCAGGGCCTCGCGAGCGCTCTACCTCTGAGCCACAATCCCAGCCCCCTGAAGTTTCTTCATCCAGCCTGCCATGTGTCAGGCATTGTGTTAGAAGCTGGCATGGTCACCAGTCTCTGGGGTCCTTCAGTGTAGTGACTATGCTTTTTTGTCCTTATGGCCCAAATGTTGATAGGATACTTGAGTGGCTGCCATAAGTTAAGAGCTCCATAAATGCTTATGAGCATGTATGTAAAGGTAGAGTAAAGGGGCTAGAGGTAAAGCTTAGTGGTAGAGTGCTTGCCTACCACTGTATAAGACCCTGGGTTTGGGGCTGGGGTTGTGGCTTTGTGGTGGAGCACTCACCTAGCATGTGCGAGGCCCTGGGTTCCATCCTCAGCACCACATTAAAATAAAGGTATTGTGTCCAACTACAACTAAAAAATAAATATTTTTTTTTAAAAAAAAAGACCCTGAGTTTGATCTCCAGCACTGAAGACCCTGCAAAACAAAATCTTTTTGCTTAAAGGCAAAGTAAAGTAAGATTTCTTGATTGTGTGGGTTCCTGTTCCATTCCTGTTCTTTACAGTTTTTACATAAGAATGAATGTTGTCTTATTATCTTATTAAAATTACTAGAATTTGTATGTGAATGTGTGTGTGTTGCTGGAGATCAAACCCACGGCCTCACGCATAAGGTTAAGTGCCCTACCACTGAAATACATCCCCATCCCATTTTTGGGCTGTTGTTGATAGAATCATAGGATTGTTATTATTTAATGAACAAAACACCCATCTTCAAATCTCAGAGAAAAAAACACTTTTGCGCAAAAACTCTAGCTCACAGTGGAACACTGTGGGCTGTGGGCTGTGTGGTGCTTTTCCTCTTGGTGAGTTTGTCCCTTGTGGAGGATTTGGAGACACATGGACCTCAGGTGCCACACACATTGTGAGGCTGAAGACAGTCAAAACGGCAAAATCCCTGTAGAGGGAGGAAAAGGGGGTCAGTATGGACTCTTCCGCCAAGAGGAAGTACAGTCCCCTCAAGGTGAGCTCTGCCCTGCTCCCTGCTTCATCAGCTGTCCACTAACTGGTGAACCTCTGGCCATATTCACCACCAGGGGGCACTGTTGCCCCCCGCCCCCGCCTGTCTCCTTTGGATCCCAGGGCCACCTTCCCATTTTCACCTACAGAGGGAAGCAGAGAGCTTCAAACCGCCCAACCCAACCCCGCCCCCGCTCGCCAGCACTCTACCCCCACACCCCCCTTTATCCGGAATAATGCATTCTGGCCACTGTTGATGGAGGCCATTCCCAGCTGGCAAAGACGCAGCCACTACCACTGATTACCAAGTGTCTACGCACCTTTGCAATCAAAGTAGGGCGAGCATATTTTCTCACGGCAAAAGGAGCAGATATGAGTACTGGCCTTTTGAAACTCAAAAACTTCCTATTAACTCCCCAGAATTAGGTTCCAGGTATCTTCCAGGGTTATTTTGTACTTTTATAATAATCACATCAATTTTGATAGTCTTTCAAAAGAAAACTTACGATTTGATGACCACACCTTTTTCAAATCTTTTCATGAAATATATGTCATGGAGACAAATATACATACATATATATATATATATAAAATGTGTGATTCCTTGGGTTCAATCCTCAACACCACATAAAAAGTCTACTTCTAGGGTTTCATCATTCCTTTGTTCATCAAGCATTTCTGGGTCCATAGTCATGCTGGGTCCTGCTGGGTTCTAGGGACATGAGTGAAGCTGGGGGTGGTGGGGGTGGTGTGACAAGTGAACAGGGCCCCGGGGTTCAATCCCCAGTACCACACAAATGCACTTGCAAAGCAATCAGATTATAGGTCACAGATAATATCTTAACTTTTTTTTCAGTACTGGGGATTGAACCCAGGGAATCACACATGGTAGGCAAGCACTCTACATTGAGCTACCTCCTCTGCATTTTTTATCTTATTCTGGGAGAGTCTTGATAAATTGCTTAGACTGGGCTCAAATATGCAATCCTGCCTCAGACTTCTGAATAGGGGTTATAAGCATGTGCCACCAGGCCCAACTGGTCTTAACACATTTTTAAATCAGAAACTATATACTTTGCATTTGCTGATATTATGCAATGGAAATAGGAACTGACAATATATCTCTAAAATAATGATCCATCTAGAAATTTTGTTACAGATGGACAGAATATTTGTTTATTTTTATGTGGTGCTAAGGATCCATCTAGAAATTTTAAAATAAATTCATATGTTCTCTGATTCACTTTTACTTAAAATATAATATGTACCAGAAATAATGTTAAACCAACATGTTCAAAATGTTTGGGACAGACAGGGTCAGAGGAGCACTCACAAGGCATTTATTTAAATTGCTTTAAATACTTTTATTAAGAGGAAGAAAAGGGACTGGGAATGTGGCTCTGTGGTGGAGCCACAGTGCCTGGCATTTGTGAGGCACTGGGTTCTATTTTCAGCACCACATATAAATAAATGAATAAAATAAAGGTCCATAAGGACTGGGGCTGTAGCTCAGTGACAGAGTGCTTGCCTACTAGCCTACTAGAGTGCTTACTACTAGCATGTGTGAGGCACTGGGTTCGATCTTTAGCACCACATAAAAATAAACAAATAAAATAAAGGCATCTGTCCATCTGTAACAAAATAATAATAATAATAATCAGGAAATAAAAATAAACAAATAATCAGGAAAAACGGTAAGAAGAGTCACACTTAAAAATCAAGGCAGAGAGTTGGGGATGTGGCTCAAGCGGTAACACGCTCGCCTGGCATGTGCGGGGCATTGGGTTCAATCCTCAACACCACATAAAAATAAAATAAAGACGGGCTGGGGATGTGGCTCAAGCTGTAGCACGCTCACCTGGCATGCGTGCGACCCGAGTTCGATCCTCAGCACCACATACAAAGATGTTGTGTCCGCCAAAAAATAAAAATTAAAAATTCTCTCTCTTAAAAAAAAAAAAAAAAAGATAGTACCAGAAAATTGTGACAATTGTTTAAAAAAAATTTAAAAAATAAAGATGTTGTGTCCACCGAGAGGTGAAAAATAAATATTAAAATATCTAAATCTCTCTCTCTATCTCTCTCTCTCTCTCTCTCTAAAAAAAAAAAAAAAAAAAAATCAAGGCAGAGCTGGGCACAGTGGTGTATGCCTATAATCCCAGCAGCTTGGGAGGCTGAGGCAGGAGGATTGTGAGTTCAAAGCCAGCTTCAGCAAAAGCAAGGTACTAAGCAACTCAGTGAGACCCTTGTCTCTAAATAAAATACAAAATAGGGCTGGGGATGTGGCTCAGTGGTCAAGTGCCCCTGAGTTCAATTCCTGGTACCACCCCCCAAAAAAATAAATAAATAAAGGCAGAGCCCAGCACTTACTGAGTTCCTAGCAGGTACCAGAGTCTGTGTAATCCACACATTAAACTTTCTCATGGCAGTCTCACCTCAATACAATGCAATGGGGACTACCATCTTCTCCACTTCCCAGATGCAGAGACTGAGGCTCAGAGAAGTGAAGCCTGTGGTTATATAGCGAATAAGGGAGATCTAGGATTTAACCCAAGCCCTCTCAAACTCAAGAACAACAGTCTTAGTTATGAATCCTATTAAGAGATATTCTAAAAACAAAATCAAAAAACCACCTGGAGTGTGGGAGGGGGATGGAAAGGAACATTAGGAAGGGGAGTAATGTTGCCATAGTAACTCTATCTGTCCCTCCCTGAAGACCTTTCAGTTATCTATGGGTGGCCACCTGTCCCCATGGCCCACATACAACAGTGGTCAGACTATTCTACAAAATCGAAAACCCTGTTCAGATGACTCCTGGAAGCAAGTCGGGTAAGTTAAGGTCAGCCCAGTGTGGATGGACTGTTACAGACCAGACCTTATATTGGCAGGCAGGGCAGAGGCATAGGCTATCCCAGACCCAGGGTACAAGTACCTGTGGGATGCTAGTGACATCTCAGTCCACCATTCCCTGCAGTAGCTTGAAGCAGTATCCCATGAGCACTGCCAAGCCAAGATACCTGGAGCAACTAGAGAACTACCTACGCAAGGAGCTCCTTCTGTTGGACTTGGGCAAGGATTCTACCCAGGAACTGAGACTGCAGGTCAGAGCTACAGACAAAATGTGAGAAGGGTGGGAAGAAACCTTACTCAAAGGACTGAGCACCTCACACCTTCAGGGGAGACGACCTCTCCCAACTTTGAAGTCTCCTTCCCTGAAAAGGAGCATATCCTATGACAAGCCAGCTAGGGCAAAGCTGTAGCGTGGAACCAAAACCCTAGTGAGGCTGGAATGTACCCATCTGAGTGAGGTTAACTGGATGCAGCCTCTAGTCCCTTTTGCAGTGTCCAGGATCCAGGCTGAGTCTTATTTTATGTCAGTAAATAGAGCCCAAATTTGTCAGCTAGGCAAGCAAGAAGTCATAGTGTCTACCAGCCCTGTAGTAACAACCCCAAGCTTGAGGAAAAGGCTGAGAGAGAGAGACAGAGAGAGATCAGTCTAGATGCAACACAAATTCCACTACATATTAGGATATCAGGGAAGGACTCAAATAGGGATAATGGCAGGGATTCCCTGACTTCTGCCCTAATCCTGACTAAAGTATTTACTGAGCCCCAGACATGTACCAGGCCCTGGACACAATCATACAAAAAGAAGTTACAGCACTAACAAGGAAGCAAAAGCTTGAAAGCACACCTCTAGGAGTAGTGGGGGTGGGACTCAAACTCAAGGCTGCTTCTGGAGCCTGTGCTCATTTCAGTAAACAATGCTACCTCTCTGCAAATCAAGAGGTCCCTGCTTCACACCTGAGTAACATCTCAGAAAAACAAAACAACAAACAAAAAACAATCTTCCTGTGTCCAAGTGGGATAGAAAACCATACATCCATTATGAAGCTGGAACTTAAGGCAGGCTTGAACCTTCAACCTCTTCCCCCAGGATGGCAGGTGAGAGGCCAACAGATTCAGGAGTTAGAAAGCAAGAATCTGGTTACCCGGGAACCAGAGGCAGGGCTCAGACAGAGTGCCTGGCCCATGATGGTTCACCATGCCTCACAGACCAGCAGAGGCCTGCAGGCAGCTGCTCCCCAGCTCCATGGTGCTATGAAAGACTTTGGTGATGCCTTGGGCATTCACTTGTGTTACCTGGGAACACTTCTGTGCCCAGTTTAAAAAAAAAAAATGGGTTCCTATAAAAGGGTGGCATCTATGAGCCAGGAATTGACAGGATTCCTTTTTTTTTTTTTTTTTTGCCAGCCTTACAGAGAGATCTTTGAGTTCTTCATAGAGGATTTCAAAACATATAAACCATTGCTATCCTCCATCAAGAATGCATATGAGGTGATGCTGGGTAAGAACACAGCCCCTCTCATGAGCCCAGCCTACAATGGATGCAGAAGATTCTATTCTTTCTGAAGCTCCACAGCAGGGTTGGGGCAACTACTAATTGGGATTTGAGGTCACTTTTGCATGCACTGTTCTGTGATAGGGCTCCCCAGAGGACATCACCTCCTCCTGTCCTTGAGAGGGAACCCCAGAAGAGTGAGCACCTCTGGGAAGTGAGGTGGTCCTTTACCAGACTCAAAAGGTATAAAGCAGTTTGTGGCTTTAGGACTAAAGATGCAGGGCTAAGTGTGTAGTAGCAACCCTGATCCTCATTTGGACTCTGCCCTTGCTTTTAAAGCAAGTGTGAGAAGGTCTAAACTAGGAACCATGGCATTTAACAGGCAAGTGTAGACTCTTGGTGTTTGCAAGTGATAGCCACTTACCCATGACCTTAGGATCTGTCTCCTGGCTGCTCTTCATGGCTCCAAAAGGACTCTTCCATCCATCCCTGCTTAGCCCACCAAAGGGAGAAGATTCGTGCCCTGGAGCCACTGAAGGCCAAGCTTGTCACTCTGAACGAGGATTGCAATGAAAGAATCATGGCTATGAGGGCTGAGGAGAGGTATGAAATCTCCATGCTCAAGAAAGAGAAGATGAATTTGTTAAAACTCATTGACAAAAAGAATGAAGAGAAGATCTCATTGCAGACAGAGGTGAATGAAAATGATGTACTGACCAAGTCCCTGAATTCCTGCCCCCTCATGGTGACCTTATGCACAAGGCTACTTCTAACCCTATCCACCCTCCATCTACCTTTTTAACCCCTCCCCAGAGCCTCTGTTACCTTTACCCTCTGACCTGCTGCAGGGCTCAAAACAGGTTTGGTGTGGCCCTGAGTGCCAGCAGACTTTCTTCACAGGAGGAAGCACTGGCATCTTGTTGGGTTCTTGGGAATGCTGCTTTCCTTCTTCAACCTTTCTTATTCCTAAGCTGAGGACCACCCAACACCCATCCCACCCCTGTATCAACTGGCTGCCTATAGGGATCCACAGAAAGCTCCTGACTACACAACCACTGTCCTAGCAGGTGTCCAAACTGAGGAAGAACTTGGCTGAGGAGTACCTGCACTACCTCAGCGAGCGAGATGCCCGCAAGATCCTCATTGGAGATCTGAATGAGCTTCGGTACCAGCGGGAGGACATGTCACTAGCCCAGTCCCCAGGTAACCTGAGTCAGGAGTCTCTCCCCTCTCAAAGGGCTGGAGAAAAGTCTGGCTCTCATCACTCACCCCCATTCATTCAAGATTTGTAATATCTGCTCATTCTGTACCCATACATGGTGGGACATGTCCCTTTTACTAACGAGGGTTGTGAATCTTTTGAGTAGGACTGAGAATCATGGGATCATTAAGTAGGAATACTCCTAGCAGCTGAGATAGCCAGGGCTCCCTGTGGACCAGACAGGCCTAGTAACACATGTGGTGGGTTTCACTACTTAAGCATGAACCCCTAGGCTGGTAGCCATGTGGATAAGACATGGGGGATTCAAGGCAGATAAGGCAGAAAAATCTTGGGTATGCTAAGGGATACTCAACCCAGGCCTGGGCTACAAACCCCAGAGTCAAGGTGACACAGGCTGATGGGTCCCCTGGCAGGTGTCTGGGGGGAGGACCCCGTAAAGCTAACCCTGGCTCTGAAGATGACCCGGCAAGATCTGACCCGCACACAGATGGAACTCAACACCATGAAGGCCAACTTTGGAGATGTGGTACCCAGGAGAGACTTTGAAATGCAGGAAAAGATTAACAAGGATCTTCAAGAGCAGGTGCTGGTGGGCAAGCAGGGCCAGGAATGGTAGGGCAGGGTTAAGCAGGTGGGTGGCTAGAACCAATCACCTTATCCACAGCTGGACAGTCTGCGAGCTGATTATGAAGAGGTCTGCAAGGAGCATGATTCACTGCTACAGATGCACATGAGCACACTGAAGGAACGAGACCAGTTCTTTTCTGAGCTGCAGGAGATCCAGCGTACGTCCACACCACGACCTAACTGGACCAAGTGTGAAGGTAATAATGACTTTCCTAGCCTCAGGGTCTGCTAAAAGACATGAACTGGACTCCAGGTCCTTCTCCCCTTCTGCAGATGTGGTGGCTGGAGGCCAAGAACGCTGGCATATGCTGGCAGCAGACAAGAACAGTGACCAGCTGGTTGATGTGCTACTGGAGGAGATTGGCGAAGGCCTGCTCCGGGAGAAAGACTCCTTTCCTGGTCTGGTAGGGCATTCCTAGCAGGAAGTTTGGGTCAAAGTCAGAATAGTCAGATTGTGCTACTAAGGAGAGTTGAGCTTTAAAGGAGACCATCTGGGGCTCTTCCCTGCTTGGAGGTGGGGATATCAGGTAGCCCAGACATGAGCGGACACCATGCCTTCCAGGGTTATGGGGAAACCATCCCCACTTTCCTTCGGTTTGATGGCCCTGTGGAGAACAAGAAACCAAGCAAGAAGGAAGTGGTAAACATCCTTAAGGATGTCTGGAAGGAACATCTGGCACAGGAACAGGTCAGCTCTCACCAGTCATGTTGGCCCAGTGTGGCCTTATATCAAGTTCTCTAGGGGGTCCCCTCATGGTGCTAGGGAATAGGGGTGGGTCAGCCAACCCTGGGACATGCTGACCAAGCATCCTCCCCACTCTGTAGAAAGAAAAGTTTCCAGATTTCTTCTTCAATTTCTTGGAGCGTCGCTTTGGGCCCAGTGATGCCATAGCCTGGGCTTATACCATTTTTGAGAATATCAAGCTCTTCCACACCAATGAAGTCATGAGTCAATTCTATGCAGTTCTAATGGGAAAGGTAAGCTTGGACCTGGTCCCTACCTGGTTTCCTCAGGGAGACAGAGGGACCTTTGTCTTCAGCATAGCCCAGCACTGCCCCCATCACTCCACAAAGCAGCAAGTTAGTGAATGATTTCCTTTCTATAGAGGACAGAGAGTGTGTATATCAACCAGAAGGAAACAGTAGCCCAGCTGCAAAAAGAGATGACCAATGCTGACAGTCAGAACGAGGGACTACTAAGCATGGAGCAGTTCAGGTAAGAGGCCAGTCCTGGCCACACCAAACTTCGGCACCTCTCCTCTGGCCAGGAATACAGGGAAAAAAGAAGCCTGGCAGGAACAGTCATAGCCTCAGAGATTGCTGTTCTTCTGTACACTAATGGGGATGGCAGAAAAAGGTGTGGGGAATTGGGTGGGCAGCCTCTGCCAGTCCTCTTGTTTGTCCTTTTGTTTCCCCATAGCAACATCCTTAAGAGCACTTTCCCCCTCAAGAAGGAAGAGCAAATTCAGGAGCTGATGGAGGCAGGGGGCTGGCATCCCAACAGCAACAGTTCAGACTTGTTCAACTACCGCTCATTGTTTATGGAGGTAGGTAGGGAGTCTAAGAACTTGCCCAGCTCCTACCCTAGCCTTGACTGGCCCCCATTCAATGTGGCCTCACCCTGCCTGGTGGCCTCTTCCAGAATGAGGAGGGCCAGAGTGATCCCTTTGTGCAAAAGCTGTGGCAACAGTATGTGATTGAGAAGGATGAGTACCTACGTGAACTAAAGCAGGAGCTGGGCCTGGAACTGTGAGTGACCCTGGGGCCTATAGGTCCACTTGGCCATTGGTGATTCCCACACAAGTCAAGTTCCACAGGGTGGCATCTCAGGCCCCTGAGTGCACTGAGCTTTCTGCTGGGCACTATAAACTGCTCAAGTCCAACAGAAAGGAGAGCACCTTAAGAGTTTGGGCCACAGAGAAGAAGGCTCAAGCCTGTTTCTCTTCTTTTTTTGTGGGGCAGCCATAATGAGGTGACCCTATCCAAGATGCGTAGGGCCTTGATGAACATTGATCCCAACCTGGACAAGCAGACTTTGAGCACCTACCTGAGCCAGGCATTTCAGCTCCCCATATCAGAACTTCCAGAGGAAGGCAACGAGGTGGAGGAGGGCACCAAACTATGTCTCAGGCTTGCACTGGAACAGCTTCAGATGGCTGATGTCAAGCGCATAGGGCCTCGGGACATAGAGCCTACAAGCTAGGACCATCATGGATCGGATGAGAGCTTCAGTGCTGCTAATACAATGTTTAGTACTAAACTGTTTGAACCCATACCGTTTTCGAGGCTATGTTGAGATGTTGGGTGGTAATGGAAGGAGGATTTGGGAGGTTAGGATATGAACCAAAAAGCAGAATATTCTATTTGTCACAATTTATTGATGCTAGGGGACAGGGAGGAGAGCTGGAGGGTTATGTGGGGTTAAGAGGCCTCAGGTGGGGAGACGGCATATTGAAACCTGGCCACTACTGCACAGGGAAGACAGAATTCCCACTGAATGCACAGGGGATGAGCAGCTGCCGGTACTCCAGGGGTAGGTGTCGTTCCACAAGCACATACAATGAGACTTGGTCAGTGATCAGGCCCTGCCTGCAGCAGAGGAAGAGAGGGGTGTAGGGAATCAGTACCAGCACTCCCACACCCAGCCTTCCTCTTCTGCTCACTCACCGCACCCAGCCTTCCTCTTCTGCTCACTCACCGTCGCATCAACAGTTCCAAGTCTTCTGGCCTCACAGTCTTTCGGCCAGCATGAGCAGCAAATACCTCCAGGTCATTGCAAAGGTGCTGGAAATACTTGTCTAGGCTGCCAAGAAGTTTGGGTTACAGCAGACTGAACGGTCTGTTCATAATCTGAGAGGCCCCACTTTCCATCCAGGTGTCCAAGACTCACCATTTCTCCACCATTTCAAAAGCCTTCCTCTCCATGGGCATCTTAGCAAAGAAGCTGAAGAGTTTTGCATAGTGGTTCAGTCCAGCCTTGTAGGAATCTTGACGGGGCCTGGAGCCAGCAGTTCGGGGTCTGGGGGTAACCCGGGCTGACACAGGCTCCATAGTCTCTGAAGACAAGCTGGGGGCAGGAATGGCAGAGATGGTTAAACTGCTTTACTTGAGAAGGTCCCTAATAAGGGCAAGTCCTACTGACTCCTGATAAGACTGAGTCCATGTGCTCCTTAGCTTGGACCAGCAATCTCAACCATCTACTGAGAAGCAGTGGACTTGGGACCACACAGAAAGTTGGGTCCAGTGTTTCCCTGGACCCTGTTTGTCCAGTCTGGATACAATGTCCAAGTCTAGCCTCATCATATACAATGGTACTTGCTCAGGCCTGCGATCCCCTGGCCTCAGAATGAATATTTTCTCCTCTCAGGAGTCTTATCACTGCCTGTCCCAATTCTGCTAATCCTCCTTCGGGAAGCCCTGAATACACACTGACCTAGGCACATCTACCTCACCCTAGCTCCCGTAAGCTCTTGGAGGTAGGTATCAGGATCAGATATGCCCTTGGGAAGTATCTCCCCATACTGGCTCAGGCTGCTGTGCTGGATAATCATCTGCATACCTGTGGAAAAGGGGATGACTGTGCGCAAGGTACCTAATGCTGACTTCAGTGCCTGGCCCTTTCCCAAGAGGCCCATGAGTAACAGGGTCATGGAATCTTACACTGCAACATCAGGCGGTGGGGCTGGCTCAAGAATTGAATGCAGTCGCTTGGCCTGAAGGAACCTGGGTGTACTGGATGCCAATTGTGGACTTGCTGCAGAGAAAGGGTAGGGTCATAGGAAGCTCACATTTGACCCATCTCACCCAGTTATACAGGTCCAGTAAAGTCTTTTCCTGTTTCTCAAGAGCTTCAACTAGCTCCAGCTAAACAAGTATCCCTCAGAGTCTCCCTGGCTCCCTACCCAGAAACAATACAGGCAAGCCCCTTGTGTGTGCAGGGCCTGAACACAGCTGTTGCCATTTACCCACTAATCCACATACTAGGCTTCTTACCTGGCCTGTCAGAGGTGTTCTCATCCTCTGAAGATCCTTCTGGCTCCTCTGCCTCCTGGGATTCCTCTGCTTCCATTACTTCTGAAACAAAGCAGGCCAAGGCTGTGGCTCCAAGAAGGGTAAAGATGGAGCAGCAAGGCAAGCCCCACTCATTGAGGAAAGACCAAGTCAGAGGCAGCACCAGGGCACTAATGTGAAATCTTCTGGTCCAACACTGACACTGTTTTGGGTGGAGGAAGAACCTCCAGCCAGAATGCTTTGGGGAACACAGTGCTAGGGCTTGAGGAGGGAAAATCAACAGTGTTAACTTGTCCAAGCTAAGCTTGGCTCCAGGCCACCTGCCCTACATACTCACTGTGGTTCTGTAGCCCAGGTCCACTGCTCTGTGTCCTGTCCCCCATAGTCCTCTCAGCATCTTCAGTACCAGTAGGAAAGGGGTTGGGCAGAGAGCGATGTACACTGGGGGAGCAGCCAACCAAGGACTGTGAGAATGGCTGGGTGTCTTCCAGTACAGTGTCCGATGGCAGATTTGCAATAGGGGTTTTAAGGCTGTCACCTGAAGATCAAGAGCCAGCTGGCATTCAGTGTATTAAAGGATAACCTGCTGATACTGAGTTGCCAGGGTCTGAGCAATTGGCCCCATGGGTGTGCCCTGACTGAGTGGTCTCAGAGAGAGATGACCTACACCCTAAACTTCATCTCCCTTCCACTGCTTTCATTGCTTACCTTCCTGCCTTTGGTCCACAGCTTGCCCACCTGCAACTGTTTACTTTACCTGTACTCTTCACTTTCCTTCGGCCCAGAAATTTTCCTACTCTGATAAATTTGACTTGTCTTAGGGAATCAGGCTCCCAGGTCAGCTCTAACTGGCTTGCTGATCATGAATCCGCCTTTCATTCTTCCAATGAGTTTCAACCACCAGACCACACCCCTTTCCTACCCTACCCCTGTAGTTCAAGGATTTGAGATTCTGGAAGAAATGGAGACACTCAGACTGAGCTCCACCAAGGCCAGTGCCAATAACCATGGAAAGACATAGACCTATTAGCCAGGCTCAAATGCTATCTTTGATTCCACCAAGAGGGGTACAACCCCAGAGTAAGGAGTATCTCCAATCTGTCATAGGGAAGTACCTTCTCCCAAATGCTGAAAGGCAAAATCTCAACCTTACCTGGAGGAGCCAAGGCCAAGGAATTATCTTGCAGATCCTGCAACAAGGCACCCACATCTATAGCACGGGGGCGGGGAGGTCTGCGAGCCAAACCAGGTCTCCTCACTGACTGTGGCTTAAGAGGTGTAGCAAAAGTCAGGTTGAGGGAGCTGGTGGTAGGGAGGAGGCAAGAGGAAAGTCAGGTACGTGAGGCCCAATGTCCCCAAAGGAATGCCCCTATCTGCCCTTGGGGTTCTCATCTTTTAGAATGTAGTCACAAGTGTGTGAGGCTAGAACCAGCAAGGATCATATGGCTAGATTCCATCAGTAAGAACCTCTCTCCCCAAGCCTCTACTCCATCAACCCCCAGAACAGGGAATAATACCTGGTAAGGGATGAGGCATCAGCATTTTCAGGATGCTCTGTCAGTGACCAAAACGAAGATGTAAAAAGAAGAAATCACGGTAAATTATTAGAGTCCATGAAAGCTCTCCCTCAGGCCTCCTTAAGCCTCTTCAGAAAACAGGAGGCAGAGGACAGCAACAGGTGGTATCCTAGGCCTTACCTTGCAAATGAGGCAGCCCCTGGTCTACTTCCTGCTGAAACACTGACAATCTCAGCCTCTGCTTCTTCCTGCCAGAGGCTGGCAGACCTGCAGCCAGGGTTGTGGGGGGCTCAAGTTCAGGAAGTTGTAGCTCCAGGCTATGAGGACAGATCTTATCTCAGACAGGCAAGGAAGCCCAACTTTGGCATTTGGAACCAAGAGGTGCCCAGACCAGAACAACTCAACAGCCCAGCCCAGGAGGAAAGTTCACTGTGTACCTGCCCTGACTGCTTTCCCTTCTGGAGGGTTGGATCACCTGCAGTGCTGGCACTGGCTTCACCACGGACTCTGGCATGAGGATGGAAGATTCTGGGGCTGCAGAACAGCAGAGGCTTCCTTGAATGAGGGTTAACACAGGATTGGTGCCTATCTCTGCCTGGCAGATTAGTGCCCACTCACCAGTTATTAGGATGTTCTTTACCAGAGTCCGGGGTGTCTGTTCCTTTAGGTTACCAATGACTTGAATGTGGGCCAGTCTGCCAATAGACTGTGGGTGAAAGCATCATGCAACTAGTCTGTTTTGTTGTTGTTGTTTTTTGCCTGGGCAGTCCTTCAAGATGGGCTCCAGAGCAGAAATAGACCTGATAGCCCCAAGAAGGCAGTCTGGGCCCTATAGTCATCAGTGGACTGGGCACTTACCCTGACTCCATGGGAACGCTGTTTGGCAGATGTCTTTGTTCTGCTACTCAGCCTCCTGGAGGAAGATGTTTTAAGTAGGGCTCTTTGGGCACTGTGTAAAGACCAATTTTCTAAGAATTATGTAAAGGAATTGAAATGACAGGCTATATGATGCAGAGACACGCTTTCACCAGGGGTCTTGGTTTAAAGCCCTTTTCTCTTAGAGATAAGAACCCAGAAACCACTTGAGCCTTCCATAGCCTCTGTGTCAACAGGGGTGTATGTGTGTGAAAGAGAACTATTAGGTATGGGAAGAAAGGGACCATGATTGATCCAGAGGGGTACTGAAGAAGCCTTCACAAAGTGACTTTAGCAGAACCATAAAGGATAAGTTGGGATTAGCCATACAGACAAGAGGAATAATCGGAAGAGCTTCCATTCCAAAAACTTTTAAAAGTCTGAAGGCTATTTAAGTATTTTTAATCCTTTTGATTACTTGTCAGGATCTGATGGGAGACTAAAATGGGTCACCCAATTCTGGCTCCCCAGTCCAGTAACTCTCAGAATCACATAAATATTCCCTGAGCACAGGTTCTATCTCTTCACTCATAGGTAAAAAAATCTATCATGAATGACTTCCCACTCCTTTATAAGGGAAAGGACTGAACTGTCTCAAATTCCCACTTCTGCACCCTCTGTCCCATGAGATAACCACAACCCTCTCCCAGGGTCACTCCCTCCAAGTCAGGACAAATTCCTGCTCGCTAGTAAAACATCTTTCTAGTTCCTGTCTCCCAACTTCTGCGAAGGCTGTTCTCTCTAGTTCCGTTCCCATCTTTCAGCTGGGAGCTACAGATTAGGGCTGAATGTGCAGGAAAAGGTGGGGACCACCCGGAAGGTAAGGGCAGATGTCTGGACACACCCTGGGTGGTGTGGGCCAAACAGCCTAGAAAACGGAGCAAGTATCCTTCTGACTCCAGAAGTCGAAGACTCCGAGAGTGCACTCTGTGGTCCCGAGGCCTGGTTGCCTGGAGCTCCATGCCTGGAGCTCCAGGGTAGGGGCACAAACAGCTCGGCCGAGCCAAGCTAGGGGAGTGGAGCAATTCTCGGTGCCCAGAGCTCTGCTTCTCTCTGGGACTCTTGCCCTCTCCAAATGGGGTTGATGTTGGCTCCCACCAAGACCCCACTCCCGGGTCCTTCTAATTGCGTCGCCTTCCCATACCCGGAACTCCGGGGTCGCCGCGGGGTACGCGAATCCGCGTTATCCAGCACGCGCTGCAGGACCGTGCGAATAGTAGGCTCGCTGTCCCAGTTGTCGGCCATCCCCACAGCCTCCGGCTTTCGCAACCGCCCAGGAAGCTGCCGATACTGCGTTCCCGCCGCCGCATTTAAGGAAGATATCGCGATGCTTCCGCACAGCCCCACGGGAATTGAAGTTTTCGCCTTACCCGCGGTGCGCCGCGCGTACCTGGGTGATTGCTAACTGTAGCTTTGGAGGCAGCCTTTCCAAACGTAAGGCTGGGCAACTGTATGCTCCACTCCAAATTTTGGTTTCCTCATCTATAAGATAAGGCTGAAACCCACCTAATAAAGATTCGTGTCGGGACGGGTGTTGGGGACTGAGCACCCAGGGGTGCTCCTACCGCGGAGCTACATCTCCAAGCCCTTTCTAAAATTTTGATTCAGAGTCTCACTAAATTGCTGAGGCTGACTTAGAATTTGCGATCCTTCGGTCTCAGCCTCCTAAATCGCAGAGTTTACAAACGTGCGCCACCTCGACTAGTGCATAGGCATATTTGTGTTTGTCAGTAAAACAAAACAAACGTGTGATAACCCACACCGGTAATACCAGTAATTCAGTAGGGAGACTAAGAAAGATGGCCAGTAAGTCAGCCTTGGCAATTTAGCGAGACCTTATGAAACATAAATAAATAAATAAATAATTTAATTGCTGGGATCCGGGCGCGGTGACGCATTCCTGTAATCCCTGAGACTTGGATCGCAACTTCCAGACCAGCCTAGCAATTTAACGAGCCAGTTTAGTGAGACCCTGTCTCAAAATAAAAAATAAAAATGACTGGGAATGTAACTCAGTGATAAAGCACCCTTGGGCTCAATAAGTACCAAAAAATTAAAAGTGCTGGGCTGGGATATTACTCAGCTGTTACTTTACCCCTGGGTTCCATCCCCATATTTAGGGGTGGGGGAGTGGGGAAGGAGCAAAGAAAAATTAGATTCTAGCTTCTGAAAATAATAGAACTGCCTGGCGGGTGCAGCACACCTGTAATCCCAGCAACTTAGGCAGGAGGATCACAAGTTCAAGACCAACATGGATAATTTAGACCTTTTCTCAAAAAAAGTAGGGAGGGCTGGGGTTGTGGCTCAGTAGTAGAGCACTTGCCTAGCACGTGTGAGGCACTGGGTTTGATCCTCAGGAACACATAAAAATTAATAAAGTAAAGGTATTGTGTCCATCTACATCTAAAAACTTTTTTTAAAAACTGTAAAAGGAAAGCATACCAATACTCCTTGCTTTAAAAAAAAAAATTTGTCATTTATGCCTGATCTCTTTGTTATGTGACATTTTTTTTTTCAATAGTGGGGATAGATACCAGGAATGATCTACCTATGAGTTACATTCCAGTCTTTTTTAACGTTATTTTATTTTGGAAAATAAAAAAAAAGGGGGAAAGGTATTATGCATAAATCCCCCGGGGGTTGGCCTCAAACTTGTGATCTTCCTGCCTCAACCTCCCAAGTACCTAGGATTACAGGTGTGCACAACAATGTTGGCTATCTGACTTAACTTGCTAGGTCTTTGCAGTCACATTTTCATGGTCACTACCAAACACCTAAGCCCAGGTTTTTGTTATTTTTTTTTTTTTTAATTTGTGATTCTGAAGATTTTTTATTTTTTTTTTTTTTTTTTTTTTTTTTAATTTATATTTTTAGTTATCGGCAGACACAACATCTTTGTTGGTATGTGGTGCTGAGGATCGAACCCGGGCCGCAGGCATGCCAGAGGAGCGCGCTACCACTTGAGCCACATCCCCAGCCCTTTGTTTTGTTTTGGGTTCTAGGAATTGAGTCTAGGGGTGCTTTACCACTGAGCTATATCCCCAGCCCTTTGTTTTTTTTTTTAATTTTGAGACACGGTCTTGCCAACTTGCTCAAAGCCTGACTAAGTTGCTGAGGCTGGCCTTGAACTTGTGATCTTCCTGCTCAGCCTCCTGAATTGGTGGGATTAAAGGCATGCACCAAGGTGCCCAACTGTTTATTTTAATCATGATAGTTGGATGTAATGCCCATGCCTATAGTTCCAGTACTTGGAACTTTGAGATAGAAGGATCAAGAGTTGAGGCCAAGGGCTGGGGTTGTGACTCAGTGGTAGAGTACTTACCTTGCACACGTGAGGCACTGGATTCGAGCCTCAGCACCACATGAAATAAATAAGTAAAACAAAGATTTTGTGTCTGTGTTTAACTTAAAAAAAAAAAAAAAAGAGTTGAGGCCAGCTATGTACAGTACACACATCTGTAATCCCAGCGATTCAGGAGGTTGAGACAGGAGGATCACAAATTGGAAACCTGCCTAAGCAATTTAGCAAGACCCTGTCTCCAAAAATAAAAAGGGCTGAGGGTATGGCTCAGTGTTAAAGCACCCCTGGGTTCAATTCCCTCCCTGCAAAAAAAAAAAAAAAAACACCTTTTTTTTATTAAATATTTATTTTTTAGTTTTTCAGCAGACACAACATCTTTGTTTGTGGTGCTGAGGATTGAACCTGGGCCGCATGTATGCCAGGCGAGCACACTACTGCTTGAGCCACATCCCCAGCCCCCCCAAAATTCTTAAAGCTAACCTGGGGAAACCTGTCTCAAAATCAAGGACTAGGTCTGGGAATATAAGTATGTGGTAGCACTTGCTTACCACATACAAGGCCCAGGGTTCAATTCCCAGTACCACAAACACACAAAAAAGAAAGATCTGGGCATGTCTGAGTAGTAGATAAAGTACTTGCCTAACATACACAAGCCCCTGTCTCAGGCTCCCAAGCTGCTGGGATTATAGGGGTGCACCACCATGCCCAGTTTCGCCTTGATGTTTAAGTGTGACTCCTCTTACCATTTTTTCTTCCTTATTTATTTGTTTTTATTTCCTGATTATTATTTTCTTATTGACAGTTCTTTTTTTTTTAATATTTTATTAGTTGTTGATGGACCTTTATTTATTTATATGTGGTGCTGAGAATCGAACCCAGTGCCTCCCACATGCTAGGCAAGCACTCTACCACTGAGCCACAACCCCAGCCCCTTGACAGTTCTTTTTTTAAAAAAAAATATTATTTTTTAGTTGTAGCTGAATACAATAGCTTTATTTATTTATGTGGTGCTGAGGATTGAACCCAGGGCCTTGCATGTGCTAGGCAAGTACTCTACCACTGAGCCACAACCCCAGCCCATATTGACAGTACCTTTCCTTCTCTAGTGAAGAGAAGAAGTTCCTTAAGACGTTTTTTCCTTTCTTTAAAAAAAAAATGTGTATTTTTTAGTTGTTGATGGACCTTTATTTTATTTATTTACTTTTTGTAGTTATAGATCGATAGTATTATAGGCGTGCACCACTATGCCTGGCTATATAGAGTCTTGTAAGTTCTAGGAAGGAATTTAGAAAGTATTCTAAATGGAATAGAAAGTCACTAGAGAGATTTAAGCAGAGGTATGACTTAACCAGATTTTCTTTGGTAGCCATGTGAAGAACAGATTGTAGAGTAGGTAAGATTGGAAACACAGACATGTGATAAGCTTCTTGCCTTTCCCCAGCAAATCCAGGGCCTTGCATTCCCTACCACTCAGATGCAACTCCCTAAATATGCTTTGAGTGTCTTAGAGTCTCACTAAATTGCTCAGGCTAGCTTTGAATTTGTGATCTTCCTGCCTCAGCCTCCTGAGTCTCTGAGATTACAGGCATGCACCACTTCGCCCAGCTCTCTTCAATTTTTAAGTACAGTGAATCTTAACACAGAGAGGAACTGAACCATATTAATAGCTGTATGACAATGACAATACATAACAATGATCTTTTGCTAATTTTTATGTCTATACATCTTACAAAAATTTAAACAAATATAAAAGTTTAGGCTTGGTAGCACATGCCTATGATGCCAGCTACTTGGGAGGCTGAGGCAGGAAGATCACAAATTCAAGGCCATCTTGGATGACTTCATGAGGCTCTTTCAAAATAAAAAATAAGCCAGGCACAGTCCAAATGTCTGAGTGTTAGAAATAAGTTACTTTTTCCCCCAAATTGTCCTGTATTTTTCTAAAACATTTAAAGCATGAGTCCCCTTTGTGATAAAGAACAATAAACGAACAAACAAACAAAAAAATAAAAAGAGGGGCTGAGGTTGTGGTAGAGTGCTTGCCTAGCATGCCTGAGGCACAGGGTTCAATCCTCAGCACCACATAAAAATAAACAAACAAGCAAATAAATAAATAAATAAATAAATAAATAAAGGTATTATGTTCATCTACAACTAATAAATAATAATAATAATAATAAATAAGAAGAGCCAATGGCATACTCCTATAAACTCCTCCAGAGGCTGAGGCAGGAGGATTGTCTATTCCAGGCCAGCCTAGGCAACTTAAGGAGACACTATCTCAAGATAAAATTTTAAAAGGGGATGGGCCTGTGGTTGGGGTTGTGGCTTAATGGTAGAGTGCTTGCCTAGCATGTGTGAGGCACTGAGTTTGATTTTCAGCATGGCCGATAAATAAATAAAAAATAAACCATATATATATATGGATATATGGCTGGGACATAGCACAGCAGTAGGGCACTCCTGGGTTCAATCCTCAGTACCATAAAAACAAAGAAATTAAATAAATTAAAAGGGCTGAAGCTAGCTTAGAGAGGGTCCTGGGTTCAATTCCCAGTACCACAAGGGGGCGGGAGTGGGAGGAGTCAGGAAAAAGGGTGAAAAGGGGCAAGAAAAAAATAGGAGAAATGGCGAACTCTGCAAAGAAAGGCTAATTTGCAGGTAACTTCCATGTCTATTGCCTGGCTCCTCTCTCATTTTCACAGCCTCATTACGCTTTAAAAGATTTTCTCCCAAAGATGTCAAGGGAGAGAGAGAGGTATTACCTACAATGCAAGTCCTTTTACTTAAAACTCTTCGATGGTTCCCAGTTACCTGCAGAATAAAATACCAAATTCTCTAACATGGTCCAGTTTGTTATCTTTCAGCGCTTTTGCTACCCTGGCTGTCTGCTCCCATGCCCTTTAAGGGCCAAGAAAAGGCTACAACTTCCAATCAAGGACTTAACGGTTCTAACTTTCTAAGTTCATGATCACCACCACTTCCATTTTTCCCTGTGCCCTATTCGTTCATTTGTAACGTTTACTTCTGACTAGCCATCTATTTGCAACATTCACATCTATTATGGAAAAGACAGATCTTAATCCTTCTAGGGTTTCTGGCTCCAAGAGGAAGGGGCCTGGTCATTCTGGCTCCTTGCAGCCCCCTGCCCTATGTACTGCAAATAGTTGCCTAGTAGTGATTTAAATTATGTAAGTGAGTCAAAGCAGGGTGAGTCGGAAGTCTCCAAGGCAGAGAAAGTGGTTCCTGAGCTCCTTCGGGTCACCGAGGCCCAGGTTTCCTTCTCTCGCAAGAATGCTGTCCACTCAAAGACACTCAGGATTTGGGGGCAGCTTCTGGCAGGTAGCACAATCTTGCCCGAATCCCAATCCGCAGTAACCGGACCTTTTCCTTAGGCGGCGCTCGGAGCCACAATCGCGAGTTCGCGCGAAGCATCATGGGACTCGTAGTCTCCGCGGGCATACCCACAGCGCTTGCGTACTGCTGAAGCACGCCTCCTTATCCCCAACCCCATCAGGATTCCGGGTCCTTGTAAGCAGCAGTCTGTGTGACAGCATTCCACCAGAACACACTTCTTTCGCCCACCAAAGATGATCCGGGTCTGTAAAAGAATTTTTTTCGGGAGACTGCTGCGGTGCCCTGGAAAGCAGCCGGAATTAAGCACGCCCCCTCCCGGAAGTGAGCGGCTTTTAGCGCGGTGCATTGTGGGGGGCGTAGTCCTCCTTTCCAGGCGGTCCTTCGCGGCGTCCCCCGGGCCGACTCCTGAGCGCAGGCGGACGGCCGGGCGGGTGGCTCGGCGCGGGCCGGCGGGAAGCGTATTCCGGGCACGGGGCGCCGGGCCGGGCCGCCTGCGCCCGGCGGCAATAGTGGGAGGCTACCTAAGGCCTCGCGCGGCGCCGCCCGTCGAGGGGCTGGCGGTGGCGGACGGACCGGGCCGTCGAAGAGCTCAAGAGGCCGGTGGGCCGGGCCGAGCCGCGCGGCGCAGCCATGCCTGGCTTTACGTGCTGCGTACCGGGCTGCTACAACAACTCGCACCGGGACAAGGCGCTGCACTTCTACACGTTTCCCAAGGACGCTGAACTGCGGCGCCTCTGGCTCAAGAACGTGTCCCGTGCGGGCGTCAGTGGATGCTTCTCCACCTTCCAGCCCACCACGGGCCACCGTCTTTGCAGCGTTCACTTCCAGGGCGGCCGCAAGACCTATACTGTGCGCGTTCCCACCATCTTCCCACTGCGCGGCGTCAATGAGCGCAAAGTAGCGCGCAGACCCGCGGGGGCCGCGGCCGCCCGCCGCAGGCAGCAACAACAGCAGCAGCAGCAACAGCAGCATCAACAGCAACAACAACCCTCGCCATCCGCCTCCACTGGCCAGACCGCCCAGTTGCAGCCAAACCTGGTGTCTGCCTCCGCGGCCGTGCTCCTCACCCTTCAGGCCGCTGTAGACAGCAGCCAAGCTCCGGGATCCGTGCCGCCTGCGCCCACCACTCCCACTGGAGAAGATGTGAAGCCCATCGACCTTACAGTGCAAGTGGAGTTCGCAGCCGCAGAGGGCGCAGCCGCCGCAGCTGCCGCGTCAGAGCTAGAGGCTGCTACAGCGGGTCTGGAGGCCGCGGAGTGCCCTATGGGCCCCCAGTTGGTGGTAGTAGGGGAAGAGGGCTTTCCAGATACTGGCTCCGACCATTCGTACTCGTTGTCGTCTGGCACCACGGAGGAGGAGCTCCTGCGCAAACTGAACGAGCAGCGGGACATCCTGGCGCTGATGGAAGTGAAGATGAAAGAGATGAAGGGTAGCATCCGCCACTTGCGTCTCACCGAGGCCAAGCTGCGCGAAGAACTTCGTGAGAAGGATCGTCTGCTTGCCATGGCTGTCATCCGTAAGAAGCACGGAATGTGAATGGATTCCGCTGCGGCCTGCAGAACTCCTGGACCTTGCAGCCCTAGGAATCCTCAGGCTGATGTTGGAACTCCCCTGTAGTGTGGTTGACAGTACTGAGGCTTAGGGCAGCTGGATTCTTGCTGGTGATCTGGCACCTTCACTTGGGGCTTCTGACTTAATTGGTGACACCAGCAATTATGACTTTGTGTACCCTTTCTCCCCACTTTATGTTGCAGATTCCGGTTAGGCAGAGGCTTCAGAATCACTGAACTTGAAACTTACCCTAGAGGGATGCAGGTGGGATGCCCAGGAACTATGGGTTTAGGAAAACCACACCTTAAGGTTTGCCAGCAAACAGAGAAGACTCTACGGTGGGTAGTGATGAAGATCCAAATAACATCAGTTCTCCTTTTCATGATTAACCTTTTCAGGTGCAGCCTGTGATTCTAATGGGGACTAGTTGATCTGTGCCTCTGTCTCCTAGAACCTCCCCATCCATGAGGTCATTTATGGGGGATCTGGGTGACCTGCTGATGGAGATCCAGCTTGCCAGGGACTTAGGTTTATCCTGTTATGTTTGCTACTGGTTACAAATTCTATTTTCTGTACAATTAGTCAGACTAAAGTTTTCACTGTGTTTGTTTGGCAAAACAAATTAAACAAAAAGTAAGGTTTTTATTTGGGTTTCGCCATTTTATTTTTATAAAAATTCACCTAAGTGTCCTTGAAATTTGGGGAAATAGGCCTATTTGAAAGACCAGGATGCCCCTGAGAATAGATATTCTTCAGGTTTCTCTATAAAGTGACCTTAAGCATATGGACCCTGGCCTCAAGGTCCTTGTAGAGTTCCTGGCCCAGCTCACCCCAAAGAATTTGGAAACTGCACCGAAAGTCCCATTGGTTTTCTCCTTACGTCCTTTTAACAAGAAGGTGAAACTGAGACTAAGATGAAGTCTAAGAGTAACTGTTCAGGTCCTCCTATCTCTGAGAGTTTTAAATTCTCTTAAATTTTCAGCTGGTATTGAAGTTTGCTCATCATTTCCTTCCTAAGGCCTAGCACAGTGTTGGGTACACATATGCAAGCAATTACTTAAGCCACGAAGACCACAGCTGGAAGCAGCCATGGGTCCTGCAGTACTCAGGACTCTTGTACAGATACCTTGGCCTTGGTACACCTTCAGTATGAAAGAGCTATCCAAAGAGGGCATTAAGGAGTTGGAATTTGTGAGCCCTTGACTCATGTTTTTGGCTGCCTTTATTTTTTTACTGCTACTGGGGGGCGGGTGAAAGGGTAACATTTTTATCTATAGCTCCAAGTAATTTAGCTCAAAGCCAATCTAGAGGTGAATGCCTTTGGAGCTATCTTGTTTACTATGAGTGATGGGGCACTATTAAATGACTTCCTTCTCTTCTGAACAGAGCCACCTGTGTGGCTGTGACCTGGAATGGCCCGAAAATTAATCTGTTTCCCTTCTGGTCCCTTGGCATTGAGGTGGGAAACAATCTTGTGAGGAAGGAGGGTACAGCATAGGTTGTATAGGGGCGCACCTGGGGTACCAGATTGGATCTTTGCCTTTCAAGGACTAGCTGGCTGGTAATCAGGTGGTAGAAGCATAGCTCTGCAATTCCAGACCAGCTGAGCCTTATTAGACTGGTCTCTCACATATCACCACTCTCCTTCCTTGGAGTGGAGGCTTTCCCAGGCTTGGGTCTTGCTCTTTAGTGTATCCTTGAGCTCCTGTTCTTTCAAGGGATGCTGCTGATGTACTTTGTTTCTCTTGAACCTCTCAGCAGCACTCCCTGGACCCTTTCCAGTGTCTGGAGGTTACTTGCACACAACCTGTTTTGATTTCCAGGGGAGGAGGAGGTCAGTTCACCGAGCAAGAAAAGCCCCAGGTGCAGGTGTACCACTAGCAGGTAATAGAAGAGAGTTCTCAGTGACTGAGTAGTAGAAGCATTTAGATAGGTAAAGTGGTCTGAACAGTCCTGGGATTTAATCAAGTTTAGCTTGATCTTACCAGTCATCCCCAGGTGGCAAGTGTGGGTGGCTAAAGGTGCAAAACAGGAGTACTGAGAGATCTTAGGCCAGGAGAGAAGGCTTAAAGCTATTTCCCTTTCTTGTGGTGTCCTAGGTTGGCTGCAGAGCCATTTGCCCAGCATGAACCTGACCTACAGATAAGCTTTCCTTCAGATGTTTGTGTTACCAGGGAAACGAAGAAAAGGGTGTTGAAAGTAAAGGGCAAAGGATGGGAGAAGGGTTTACTGATTTCCTAGTCTTTTAAATATCGGGAAAAGTTTTGGGTGAGCTAGTTATTTCTCTTAATAAAAATCAAACTCATAGCTATCTGCTGGAAAGAAAAGACAAAATTTAGAATGTTTTGAAGATCCCGCTGTAGAAATGTGAGTAATCAGCTCCAGAAAGCCCCACCTGAGGGGCATCTGAGATTCACCCAAGAAGTCTAGTCTGCTGGAAACCAGCTTTAGGCCCAACTGGCCCCGGGGCAGAGCTCCCAAATGGTGGGACAGCAGAAATTGGGTTCCGCCCGGGCTGGCTTAAGTCCTCACGGCTCAGCTCGCATTGGCAGTGGGAGCCCAAAGGCAGCGGGGTTTCGCGAGCCGAACATCACAGGGGCCCAGGGAGGGACGCCCCGGCCAGCTCGGGGCCAGGCAGGCCTCCTACAGAGGCGGGGCTAACCACCCACGGCCGCACAGACTGGGCGGGGCCGGCCCGCTGGGACAGGGCGAGTACAGAGCCCTGACCCTACCCTGGCGCCAACCTTCGTGTTCCAGAGGCTTCCGCTGGACCACAATTCTCAGGGGCTCTCCCGGGTAGCCTCCCTCCCTGACTTAGCCTCTCCTCCCGCGCTGCGGGCTATGTCTGGGCCTCCATGCATAGCACACCGGGAACTGTAGTTTTCTCTTGACGTGCTAATGCCAAAAAGGAGAGCGGCGGGACTGCATTTCCCAGAGTGCAACGGGGCGGGCGAGGGAAGGCAGGGGGGAAGGGACAGTCGGTCGCAGACCGCGCTGGGTTGCCGCCGCCGCTGCCGCCATCGTGCCAGCCCCTCGGGTGAGTGTTGGGGCCAGTGTGCCGGGGCGGGGGCTGGGCCGCAAGAGCCGCGCTCTAGGCCGCCGGGAGCCTCTGCTGCGAGTTTCCGGGAGGCCCCTCCCCTCCCCCCCCCCCGACGGCCCGAAGCCGCGCGGGGCCCGAGCCATGTGTGGCGCGCGGCTCCGCCTCCCGCCGGTGCTCTGAAGCGGCGGCCTGGGGGAACGCGGAGAGCCAGACAGGCGCCTATCCGGGCTATACGGTGCGGTGGCTGGTGCGCCGGACTGCACTGTGGCCAGGCCTTTTTCTCTAGTTCGGACCATCTGGATGGGGCGCTCCGGGCCCCGCCCCGTCTGGCCTGGCCCGGCCTGCTCGAATCCCGAAAGCTCTCCGGGCAGGCTAGCGGGCAGACACCATCCCCGCGTCCCGCCACCCGCCTGCGAAGATCCGGGGATGGGCAGCGCCACCCGGCCCCCTCCAGAGCCAGCATGGGTAAGGGTGCCCGCCTGCCGCAGTCGGGGCTTGGGACTCTTACTCGGTCCCAGACTATAGTCATGCCAGGATGTAAGTGAACGCTCCGCTCCCTGCCTGGCTGCCTGCTGGGAGTGCATGAAATCTACCGCTCCTGTGGTGGAACCCATGCTAGCTTCTGCGTGGAGGGTAGGGTCGGGGAATCGGGCCACGTGGGACTTTACCTGTAGCCAGTTTCGGGAAATATGAACCTGATGTGGTAGTGCGGCTCAGTTACCAGGTCCCAGCTACGGGTGTGTTGGCAGGCTGTGTTAGTGGAGAAAGGGAGGAAAGAAGCCAAAAAGATGAAGTTGGAAGTGTGAGCCTAAGATTTTGTTAGACCTTTTAGGCACAGTCCAATTTTGATGTCGGAACCTCCTGGAGTAAGCATAGAATTGCCCCGCAGAAGAGGATGACTCCTTAAGAATGGGATGACTAGGTGCGGTTTATTGCAAGGGGTAGTAGAATCCAGGCCTGAGTTCCTTGAACCTAGTGCCAAACAAGACACCAAGGTGGAAGGGATCTTGAGGGTGGGGTGCATTTGAGCTGTAGGTGTCAGATTCAGACTCTGCGGGGCCCTTTTGAAGCCTGAGTGGCAGGAAAGAGCCGGAAGCTGCAGAAAGCCAGGCTTCCCCATCCCAACAGTTGGAGCTGCCTGTGAACAGGGAGGAAGCCAATGGGGTCTTGGGAAAGTGCCCTTAATAATGGTACCAGAGACCCCACCGAGTTCTGGAAGAAGGGTTGTGGCCACATAGTTACTATCAGTCATGCTTTGAAAAGGCACTTCTGTTTGAATAATAAATTAAGAAATTAGTTCAGAGAAAAATCCTGGGACTTGGGAGTAATAATTTGTTAAGCCTTGATTCCTCTGCAGCTTTTGAGCCACAGGTTTTGAAGGGACCACAGCAGCTCCATCTCTGCAGACTTGGCCTCAGCAGCAAGCAAAATGCTAGGTCAATCTTAGGAAGGCTGGATTAAGCCCATAATGCAGACAACCACTGGCCCTATCCTTTTTCTTTCTCTTGAATATTTCCCCAGATGATATTTTTCTGGTCATTCTGTTCTTGACTTAGAAGTTTTCCTTGCTCTGCCTAATGATTCTCTCTGGTCCAGAAGAATAGGCAAAGAATGCTCCTTAGATCTCACCAGGGACTACCTTCTCTGGAATTAACTTTCCTAATCCACATCTTGGCCTTTAGAAATCAGGTCCATTCAGTAGGCTCAGGAGAGACCTGGTTTACCAATGGAATTGGGCAGTAAGAAAAGGAACTACCCACAGAACATGTGTAGGGTTAATGAGGTGGCTTCTCTTAGAACTAGAAACAGTTATTTCAAGAGCCTCTGGATTTTATTGGTGCTTTCTATTTCACAGGTTTCAGGTGAGGTGGGCTTATGGTCATGGATTAGTTTGTACATTGCCAGGTCTTGGGTAGTTTGGCTACAGGGCTAGTGTTTATTTGGTTTTTGTGTTTTGGTTCTGAGGATCGATCCCAGGGCCTTGCACTTGCTAGGCAAGCCACTCTACTACTGAGCTACTTCCCAGAACCTGCAGGATCAAAAAGATACTATTCATTCTTCAAGGTTACCCTGGAGTAGGAGGAATTCAGGTCCCTCCCTCCTACTCTAATCCCTTTTGTAACTTTTGTCTGGAGTTTGTCTTGCTAGTCCTGACTATGAGAAGTCCTTGACCTTTCTGGAACTTGGCAGGCCATCTAGATTCTCTTCTCATCTGAGAACTCTGAGGTTCTTCAGGATCTTATCTGTGCCCTCTGTTCATGTAGGACTAACTTGGAACGTGGAGCCTGACATGGGCAGTTGGTATACGTCTGTATAAGCAAGGAGCAGGTTGTGAAGATGCCTTTCATTCATATTTGTTTGCTGGGCACAGTCATACATATCTGTAATCCCTGTTTAGGAGGCTGAAGCAGAAGGATGGCAAGTTTGACATTAGCTAAGACCCTGCCTCAAATAATAAAAAAGGATCGATATAGCTCAGGGTGAGCATGCTTGCCTAGTATGGTAGCCCTGGATTTAGTCTCCAATACTGAAAACAAATTTGGTCCCTTAATGACCAGGAATACACTTCTCTCTGAGCCAGGTCTTGCTTTATTCTGGTGTCTTT